AGGAGTTTCTTATGCTCATCAAGGCTGCATTTATTTGATCAAAAATACAGTATAAAAGGCAATATCGTGAAATATTATTGGAATTTAAAATAACTGTTTTCCATTGTAATATACTGTAAAATTTAATTTATTCATGTGATGCAAAGCTGAATTTTCAGCATCATTACTCCAGTCTTCAGTGTCACATGATCCTTCAGAAATCATTCGAATATGATGATTTGCTGCTCAAGAAACATTTATTATCAGTTTTGAAAACAGTCATTTATATTATCAATGATTAAAATAGTCATGCTGCTTAACATTTTTTTGTCAAAACAGTAATAATAATAATAATTTTTTAGAACCAATAGGAGCATTTATTTGAAATAGAAATCTTTTTTAACATTATAAGTGTATTTGCTGTCACCTTTGATCAATTTAATGCACCCTTGCTGGATAGAACTATGAATATCTTTAAAAAATATCTTACCAACCTCAAACTTTTGAATGACAGCATACATCTTAACACAGGTTTCTAGTCTTATTGTGCACATTTAAATGGTGCAGGTTATTCCTTAAAGACAAAAATGATTGTCTTTAAAAATCAGCAAAGTATAACAACTTGTTCTCTCATTTTATAGGAAAAACCTATTCTTGAAATGAGCCAAACAATTTGAGAGACTCAACAACGAATGACGGAAAAACATTCAACTCTTTTATAGTGACGTTCAAACCAGTATGTAATCACGTTCCCTCAAGCCATTAGTTTAACAATACAGAAGTGGCATTTTAATCTTTCTGAAGATGACAGAAAACTTGTATGAGACGAATCATTTCACAGACCACACCAACGGGACCTATTTGTTCCAGCACAGCCCGAGTACACTGGGTGCACCTCACTATGGTGTACCAAACATAAACTCGATCCAATCATCTCCAATGTCTCCTCGACTCAACCACGAGCCGCTAACATCTCCTGGCACTCCAGGACATGAACCTTCTCCAATGCTTGAGATGCCAAACAGTGGCGGGACTTGGGAATATAATCCGTTTGGAAGGACATCATCATGGGGATCTTCTCCTCACGAAGAACTACCAGAGACGTCTCGAATCTATCCGTTTAACATCACGTGTCAGAACAACTCATCAATGACCTGCAAAGACAACGGCAGTGTTTCTCATCCTCAAAGGCTGGACTCGTTCTCAAAGGCCTTCCCTACGAAAAACATTCAACTTCCCTTTGGCGATAGCAACAGGACAAATGATAATGATTCAGGGGTTTTGCACATGCCTCAAAGTCTCCCAGAAGGATCGGACAGGCAACCTTTGGAGTCTCCGGTTTTTAACCCAATGGTCATTCAAGGTCAATGCGATCAGACCGGCTTCCATCCATCAGAAAGCCAAAACTCAATGCACGGCCTTTACCAAAACCATCAACAGTTTCACTATGGATACCAGCAACACAAACAGAAATTAAACAACATGGAGCAGGTAAACAGGAGTCTCCAAAAACCACAGAACTCTTGGCATGGCTATCAAAGCCACCCAATGCCATATCCAATGGCCTTGAATGAACAACAAAGAGGGATTTTTGCACACAAAACTCACCTGGACTCTCAAGAACCTGCTCAATCGCCAACCTATGACCACCGTCAAGACTTCAACGTCCCAGAGCAGCAGATCTTCCATTACCAAGAGCAACAACATCTTCGTTCGCTTTCCCAACCCGGCAATCCTTACCTTGCGCAAGATCACGTCCAATCGATCCCTGCAAAGCAAAACAACATGTTTAGCGATGCTCGTCACTCGGCACCCAACACACCCGTGTTCTCGAGTCCCAAAGAAGATCAATCTGGTTTCAACTTCCCTCACCGAAGTGAAGACCTCTGCAGTCCGCTCTACCAAAACAAGAGTTCAGGGGTCTGTAAAACTCTTCAACAGATGACTATGAGCGGGGATATTTTTCATCATCTCACCGCACATGCTCCTCAGTGGTCACAGGTACTGTATTTTTTATTTGATTACTTCATTATAGACTCGTTTGCATTTAAATTAAAGGTTTCTCATGAATACCTTGCAGGTACCTTCACCAAATATTCAGGATGAGGCCATTTCACCTCATTTCAGGTTTGACTTCAACCCTACTTCTATCCATTTAGTCAAATCAAATTCATTTGTATACAGCGTGTTCTAAATATACATTTCAAAGCAGCTTTACAGAAAGTCGTGATGTTAATGTTGATAATGTCAGTACATTAATGCCTTATAATCACATTTAGCAGGTTAGAGCTGGGTGATAATATAGTTTACATTTTGCAGCAATTACACACTGATTTTGCTATATGGAATGTATAGCCCTATGTGACATATATATAATCTGGTTTCAACTTCCCTCACCGAAGTGAAGACCTCTGCAGTCCGCTCTACCAAAACAAGAGTTCAGGGGTCTGTAAAACTCTTCAACAGATGACTATGAGCGGGGATATTTTTCATCATCTCACCGCACATGCTCCTCAGTGGTCACAGGTACTGTATTTTTTATTTTATTACTTCATTATAGACTCGTTTGCATTTAAATTAAAGGTTTCTCATGAATACCTTGCAGGCACCTTCACCAAATATTCAGGATGAGGCCATTTCACCTCATTTCAGGTTTGACTTCAACCCTACTTCTATCCATTTAGTCAAATCAAATTCATTTGTATACAGCGTGTTCTAAATACACATTTCAAAGCAGCTTTACAGAAAGTCGTAATAATATTTTCATAATGTGCATTGTAATACATTATATGTTGTCGTAAATAATTATTACCGAATTTAAAATGCATAGTGTAACAATTGAATTGATAATATATACCCCACTTTATATAAAGAGCTGGATATTAATACAGTTACATTTTGCGACAAAAAGTTTGATATAATATATAAGATAATGTAAAGGTTGGGTATACTTAAAGCAAATGTGGTAACACTTTACTTAAAGCCTTTACGTATAATGCATTATAAAGTGTTATTAAAGAGTATAACGCATTATAATTATTCATAATGTGCATTGTAATACATTATATGTTGTCGTAAATAATTATTACCGAATTTAAAATGCATAGTGTAACAATTGAATTGATAAGTGTTATAATGTGGAACTATGGTTACAATTATTCATGCGATCGTAATGCATTATAATGTGCATTACAAGGCATAATTAATGCATTAAAACTACTTTTATAATGCATTATACATAAAGGCTTAAAGTGTTACCGTAATTGTATAATTCATTATTAATTTATAATTCGTTGATTATTATTAATACGTCATCTGGTGATCTTGAGAATTATGAAAGCTGAGGTCTTGTTATACAATTGTTATTCGATTCATAACAACTTGGCGTAGTGACAACCATAATTACTATTTGGTCATGTGTAGCATTGGATTATTGGAGTATGTTTAAGAAAATACTATTTCAGTTTTTCTGCTTCAGAATTTCACTAGTGTTACTTGATGTCTTTTGTATTTTTTATTTTTGTCAAATTTACTAGCATTGTCTGAGTGAAAACTGTTTCTACACCCTTTTTTTAGTGTAATACATAATATCACTAGTCCTCTAGTATGCAAGCAAAGGCAACTGTGGCAAAAAAACGAAAAACTCAATGCTCCACTCATATTATTGATATATAATATAGTATGTGGATTTGGATTTCTGTAGAGCAGAACCAGGGTTGTCGAGAGAGGATGGATCTCATGCAAAGATGAGATGCACTGTTTGTCAGAGGGAGTTCAAAAGTCTCCCGGCTCTGAACGGTCACATGCGCTCACATGGAGGCCTGCGGACACACCCCACATCCCTCAAAATGGTATGAACCAGAGTCATTTTGATTATCAGTGGTTTGTGAAAACTTGCATGCTGATTTGCCCCATTGCTTGGTATTTCTTTCTTTGTTTGAACAGGCTGCTCAAAGCAACCCCATCCTCTTACCTGTGTCAGTACCTGTCAAGGACTACCAGACCCCAACCAAACTCACGCTCAGCCTTCTGTGCCAGCAGAAAGATGAGGAACAAAGCGGTTTAATTAAGTGTGGTGCACAGTCACCCCTACCGTTGGTACGAAACCACCCTCCCTGTGTGAGTTTCTGGCATTCATATAGTTATTTTTAAAAAGTTTTTAAAAATTAAAAGCTTTAACAACGAGGTCTGAAACATCACTTCAACATCGTAAGAATTTATAGACTGCTGATGCTCAAAATATTTTTTAAATGTAAAACTTCATGCTTATGCTGACTTTTTGATAAAAAATTACAAGGGTGTGAGTTTCTGGCATTCATATAGTTATTTTTAAAAAGTTTTTAGAAAATTAAAAGCTTTAACAACGAGGTCTGAAACATCACTTCAACATCGTAAGAATTTATAGACTGCTGATGCTCAAAATATTTTTTAAATGTAAAACTTCATGCTTATGCTGACTTTTTGATAAAAAATTACAAGGGGCACATGAATGCTGCAATATGCATGGATAAATAATTTACAATAAACAGCAATATTCCATAAAAAGAAAAAAAAACAAGAACTGTAAATTGATTTCACTGTGAAAAATAATGCAATGAGCCCTTTAATATATCCTGCCCAGCTCTGTTTTAATAGGAAATTACAAGGTATTTGACTACTGCCTCCAATTCAGGTAGTCAAATACTGAAAAATGGGAACATAAAGACTGTCCAATTCGATTTGATTCATATTATTTGTGATCTACACAGCAAAGTTATATTTCTCTTCTAAATGTGATTTCTTTGCTTTCAGTTAATGTAAACCTCTAAAATGTGCAATCTACCGGATTGAGTTAAGTAGGGCGAATGTGAACCAATCAAACATCTGATAATTGTTTTTGATGTTGGCTGAAACTGTATGCTTTGCACAGGATTTAATGGAGAGAGTAGAATGGGTTACACTTTATTTTAAGGTGTCCTTGTTACAACGTAATTATACATTTAAGTACTGAGTAATATTAATTAACTACATGCACTTACTATACGGTTAGGTTTAGGATTAGGGTTTGGCTTAGGGTTACTTGCTTATATTTATGCATAATTTATTGTTATTATAATAGTAGGTACATGTAACGTGTAACAAGGACACCTTAGTAGAATGTTGAAATTAAGTATTATTTTTAGTATTTTTGAACAAAATGACAACAGGAGAGTCTTGATAGTGTTTAAAGTTAAAATTCAATTATGTTGGGATTTAGAACCGTTTCAATTACAGTGGGTTACCATTGTGGTGAAGAATTGGAGCAGACTTAGCATTTAGCATGCTAAAATGTGCTATAGCTTGTTAACAATGTGCTAGCTAGCACTAGCTTATAATTCAACGATATGACAAAATATATATATATATATATATATATAAAATTAAATAACCTTAACTCTCATGGAAATTACTTTGAATTTACTTTATTTGGTCACTTCAAAACAACCTAATTCGATGATGTAGAAGTTTCAAATCATGTTTGTGTTTCTTAAAGGGATAGTTCACCCAAAAAAGAAAATCATCATTTACTCACCCTCCATAGCCACTGACTTTTATACAAATTTTTTTTTCATACTATTGAAGTCAGTGGTTACCAACTTTCCTTTTTCATTTTCATTTTTGGGTGAGGTATCCTTTTAACTGATTCATGTAAATCTGACAGATTTTAATGTTAACTAAACCTCACCCCCCACATAACACATTCTAGATAAAGAGATCTGTCTCAGATGGAGAATGTGCACCAAAGCAGGTGAAAAAGAGGTACCGCCACTGTCTGGTCCCATTGATGATTCCTCCGCCCAGCGCCTGTCAGGAGTCCAGAGGCGCAGTGCTCTTCCGCAGTCAGCTCAGGACGGCGAGCAGCATGGGGGACGATGTGCCGTACACCCCTCCGCCTATGCTCAGCCCCGTACGCCCGGGATCAGGCCTCTTCAGCGCCATCAATGGAAGAGGCAAGAGCAGCGGGGTCGAATCTGCTGCAGATGGGGCTGGTTAGTTAACGCAGTCAAAGTCATTGGCATGACAACAGCGAAGATTAAAGAGTTGTTTTTACTGAATTATTGTAGATGCATTGTAACAGTAGCTGTATTTTTCTAATTATAATATGCATTATCCATGTTTGTCTATAACAGGTGATATGGATGACTGTGGTGAGACTGCAAGGGAGAAAGTGGTTAATGTAACACCGTAAGCATTTTAATGTTTTTACTCAAAGATATGTGTGTAAAGTCAATGTCACTAGCAAAAACTAATTAAACTATGTGTTACATTTTCTCGAGAAAAAAATGTGGTCTGTTGCCAGGGCGTTGCTATGCAGTTGGTATGGTGTTGATCCTGTAGGTAGTTGTTTATTGGCAAAATATTGAAAAAATCATATTGAAAAAAACATGAAATGGAATAAAAATGTATATTTGGATGCTTTTGTTCTCCCGAGAAAGTTTGAATTTGCTTGAAAAATGTGTTCTCACAATACTTTTACCAATGAATGCAGTTTCTCGGAGACAACCAATTTTTTTCCAGCAAATGAAAAAGCTTTGAAATACTATTTTCCCTCTCGTTTCATTTTTTTAAAATTAAAAAAAGTTAGTTCTGGCAGGTCACGTGAGTCAAGCTTGCATCAGCTGATTCTCAGCTGATCACATCTACCTATAGGAATACGACACCTATCACGGCATTCCTATTTAAGCTCTATTCAGTATTATTCAGCAGCTTTTCAGCTTGCTCCGGAGCAAATTACCCTCCTCCATCCCCAGCTCCTCCTTTCGCCACAATCAGGACTTGGCTTTCTGATATTCCTTGCTAATCAGACTCCTTTATCTTGAATAAAGTGTTACACTTAAATATCATTAAGTACATTAATGATATCTGCCTTGTTCTGTTCTGTTAACCCTAGGGGGGTTATTACTGCTGCTCTCCCTGCTCATTCATGACAGGCTGCATGGATGGGCAGGGAGTGTTTTGCCAGAACAGAACCATACCGCCAAACCAAACTTTATGCTAAGTATCTATCATTTTGACGATAGTGGTCCTGACAGAAGTGAGTTTATTCACTCAAGTAATATCACACTTCCTCTCAATAAAACCAGATGATCTGAGGTTTCATTTTCACAAAAGTGTTTCGAAACATTACACTCTTCACCTTTAAGCTACACCAGCAAAACAATGTGTTATTGCACATCATTTTACTGTCAATTGCCTACTTGATTTATTAAATAATGTTTAAATATACAATAAATTAATAATCAATAACTGTATATGTTCTTTGTAGATTAATGCTGCTTACTTGATTTATTAAATAATTGATAATGTTCAAATATAAAACGAATAATCAATAACTGTGTTTATGTTCTTTATAGTCGGATAAATGTTGGCGAGGAATTTCAAGCAAAGATCGCAGACATTAAGAGTCAAACCCTCACAGAGGAAGATTCCCATAATGCTGTTCTTTTGTGGTCGCCCACCCAAGACCTGGATGCCCCTGATAACCAGCAGAAAGGTAACTAAAATCACTTTCAACAAAAATCACATTGAGTTAAATGCAGCAACTAGGAGACATGCGGTGATTTTATAATGCAGAACAGACATTTTAAGGCATGATGCAAAGCAAAACATTCTAAAATCATACTTCAGCCAAGTAATTAAGTTCACTACACTGGAAAAAATGGTTTTCGAAAAATTATTTGAGTACGTTTTGCAAGAAAATGACATTTCATTCTTTCTACTTCAAAATTTCACACTCAATTCAACGCAAATTCTCTTCTGAGTGAAATTTCTTTTCAATTTCTGAGTCTAAATTGTTTCCACAACAGTTGTTTTCAGTGCAGGCTAACAATGATATGCAAGTTTTTAGAGTCTAAAATATCCATTTTTAAATGGTTCATTTATTTTTGTGCACATTAAGGAAAAAGAAAGCACCAATATCTGATTCCTGTTGACTTTTTCCCCCTTTTAGTGGACAATCTTTTGAAAATGGCTTGCTCTAGTGTGCTACCAGGTGGCGGAGCAAACACAGAATATGTCCTGCACTGTCTTTCTGAGTGCAGAGGAGATATTATGGTTAGTATTTTGCGTATTATCGCTTCCTGGCACTAAAACTCGTTCTCTAAAAAGCCTTAAAATAACTGTCATGTTCCAGAATACCCTTGAAAAGCTTCTCCTGCCAACGCCGCCGAAAAACACATCCAGCCCCAAAACAGACTATCATTACGCAGGTGCGTAAGATTTTGTGCCCTCAAAAAATACTATTTTCGTCTCTCTTTTTACTGTGGTATTCTTATATGCAAGTATTCCTTCCTGAGGAAATATTTAATTATATATAGAAGACTACAAATTAAGGGCCAGATTTACTAACAGCTTGCACAAGCGCAAACCCTCTTTTGGCATTAAACAACTACTGTCAGGATTTTCTAAAGATGCTCTGTGAAAGATTAGCGCTGAAAAGGTGTGGACACAGTCATTTTTGTGGCTGATCTTATCGCATATGCATTTGTAGGAGTTTCTCTTTCAGATGCAAAATTCATGGGAGGAAAGTATCTAAATGAATCACACAAAGTGATTTACTAATGTTTGCGCCAGTCAATTTACTGGTATTTGCGCTATTGTTTCCCACCCCAAAAAAGCACGTCTTAAACCAGATACTAATTCGAGCTGTTCTTGGTAGATTGCATTGGTCATTACAGAACAGATCTGTGTTCTTTAATCTGCGTACTGTCAGTAGATCAACCGCAGAACTTTCCACTCCTATCGGTGCTTTTATACGTTTGCGCTCTCACGCTATAATTTGACCCGTTTAGTAAATCTGGCCCTAAATACTCGAATCACTGAATGCACCACATTACAGCTTTTCTTCTCCTCTTCTCATCAACTAGGATCAGACAGATGGACGCTTCAGGAAAAACGCCAGCTGAACAAAGCACTTTTAAGTCATCACAAAGATTTCTATCTTGTCCAGAAAATGGTATTTGTGGTCAATTAATATTAAAAGGTTTGTGCAGGTTTTATGAAGGTACGTTTAAGACTTTTTCAAGACTAAGTAAAGAAAATGTAAGGAATAAATTGAATGGACTGTACTGTGTGTTCTCTAAATGTAAATGTCTTGTATTAGCAACACATCAAAACAAATCTCTATTACTTTTTCATTTATTTTACAAAGAAATACGGTACCACTTTATTTTAAGGTGTCCTTGTTACACGTTGCATGTACTTACTATTATATTAACAATTAATTATGCATAATTACATGCATGTAACCCGAAGACGAACCCTAATCCTAACCCTAACCATATAGTAAGTACATGTAGTTAATTAATATTACTCAGTACTTAAATGTATGATTACACTGTAACAAGGACACCTTAAAATAAAGTGTAACCAGAAATACCTTAAGTCTTGAATAGCTCTGCTAATCCACTGGAATATGGAAATAGCTTTTACCGATCACAGAGCAAAAAAAAATATTTTTATCTTGTTTTCCAGTGCAAAAGATTCTTAAATCAAGATACATTTACTTGTCAACTACTCATCAAAATAAAGTGAGTTGATGATTAAAATAACAAAAATCTGCCAATGGGCTCAGAAAAATCAACTTAATTCAAAAGGGAAACATTTTCATACCCCACTGTCAGAAATTAGTTCTTTTTTTAAGCATAAACCCACTTAATTGTTACATTTCTAACATTGCATCTCAAGTAAATGTTTCTAGATTTAAGGGTGTTTAGATATAGGAAAACAAAACAATATTGAGGAAGATATTTACTTTTTGGCGTTGCATTTGGGTGACGATTTTCTGCTCTGAATTACGTTTTTTTTTTTAAAGGCCTTAATTTGTGGAAGGACGAATTAAGACTTTTTAAGACCTGCAGAAACCCTGTATTAATTTAATCTTTTGTTCTCCATTAATATATTAGCATTAATTTGTGACCCTGTGGTGCAGTGACTGTGAGAATGTGTTATTTTATTATTTAGGTCAAGACAAAGTCAGTGTCTCAGTGTGTCGAGTACTATTACGCATGGAAAAAGCGTTTGCGCTTGGGTACGAGAGTCAGTACGGCTCTGTCTACACCTGTTCAAGACCAGCGGGTGAGTTCCAGCACAGTTTTACTGGTCATACTCATCTAAATCTCATGTCACCACTTTCGCCTGCCAGTATTTGGACAATTAAGACATTGCATTGCATTAGAAAAGAAAATATTATAAATAAAAAAAATACGACACTCACTTTTACAAGTTATCTAATTTAATGACATTCAGGCATTTTTTGTTGTGATTTATTATTACATTATATTGTGACTTTCAAATATTTTTTCATGCATAGCCTATATATTTCATGAATTAGGGAGACTGGCCAATAAACACCACCACAGAACCAAATAAAGAAGCCAACAGCAAAACCAGGGAGCCTGAAATATCAGAAAACTCCAGTGCCGTGTTTGTCTGTGAAGTGTCAAACTCTGTGAGTATCTGTGAGCCGGTGTGCATACTGAAACCTCTAGGTGCTTTCTCCACTTCCTGTCATTTACTAGTACGCTCACACCTTTTCTCTCAAATATGCTGTATACTGCCTCTGCGTTCTGTCAAATGTGTGCTGTATTAATCTAGATAGTGTGATTGTGTAGCAATCTGTATATAGTAGCCGAATAATGTCTTTATTATTAAAAACATGTTACAAAAGCCAATGTGACATGTTTCTAATAATGGAGAAGACACTATGCTAACTATATTTCAATCATGACAACTCTCGGAAGATTTTAACATGGTGATGGATATGACAATGTTAATGTATTTGGTCTTGGCGGAATAGATCTGCTACGCTGCTGCTGAATTGCTGCTGCTGTTGGTTATTGCTGTAGTTGTAGATTATTGCTGCTGCTGCAAGCAAGTACAGGAACTTGCTACTATGTATATGGCGATACGGTGCCATGAGTATTTAAGACATACTGCTGCTGCACAAATAGCATATAAAATAACCCCGTAGCAGATCTATACAGGTGGAGCTGGGGAAGGTGGAGGGTTTCAGACAAACTCTGAAAGCACGCTGCAGGAATCTCAAGTGAATGCTAGCCAGCCATATAAATGCAAGGCAGTAAGCTCATTCGCTGCATATGCAGCATGAACCAATCAGCTTGTGCCAAGTCGTTTAACTCTCTGAATATCATCAGTTACGTTAACAGCCCGTCAGCCTGCGCCATCTAGAGTTTAATGACTGAACTATATATACAATAGTTGATGTTCAGTTATAGGATTCAAACTCTTAAATAAAAAACAAACAAAAAAATCTCCCTACATAAGATGATTTGACAATAATAATCCAAAATGACATCCTATCATTATTTATTATTTACTCACCTTCAAGCTGTTCCAAATCCGTATGCTGTTCTGTGGAGCACAAAATAAGAAATGTTAAAAAATTTTGTCACACAGGTCACTTCTGAAAAATAAGTGTGCTTACTTGTACTGGATGTACACTTGTAGTGTACTTTAAATTTTCGAAGTATATTCATATTAACAAAAAAAACTGTACTTGCAGATGATATAAATGAAATAAAAGACCACTTGAGTGTACTTTAAGAGACACTTTCATAACTATGTTTCTTAACACACTTACGTACACTTTATAACAATGTCAAATTAAACGTTAAACAAAGTACATTCCAAATTATTATGTTCTAATAATCTTTTGTCACTTGATTATAATTTAAACTTTAGTGCGTTATTTATATTACATTTAAAGTTAATACATTTTAATTGCAACTTGAAATTTAAGTATATTTTAATTTACCATAAACGCTTGTCAGTAACCATATATTAAAGATTAATGAATTAGTTATAAAAATTACAAACAAAGAAGTACTTAAGTCCTACTTAAGTGTGTCAAAAAACACTCTTAATTTCAACTAATTGCATTTAATATCAATTTAAACTAAAATAAATGTTCATTTATTGTAATTGCAAAAAAACATGCCATTAAGTGTCTAAACATTACATTCAGTTAAAGGCACAATATGTCATTTTCGCCGCTAGAGGGCGCGTATTCAAAATAAACAAATAGACAAAGGCGTAGTTAGATGGCGCTGTGACTGAGTGTGGAATCATGGGAGTTGTGGTCTTCATCCCCACAGCCGATACAATCCGACGGGACTCGGGCAGAAATCATGTTCATGGATGAGCTAATGATTTATTAACGTAGTAGAATGAAGCAGGGTGAGGCTGAAAGCCGTCGAAGAGAAACGAGGCCGCTGAACGAGCGCGACACACGGCTCGAGAGCAGCGGAGCTTTTATTATGCCACAGTCGACCACTTCCACTCCTTCCGGTCGTGCGTATGTGGGGTAAAGCAGCGCTGTTTTATCATACTAGATACATTTGAACGTTCTGTTATAATGCTACTCTGTGCGGTCGTCACCGGTCTATTAAAACGCACAACATATTAAAGCGTCTTTGGTGTTTCCATGTTTTCTACAAAACAAAACCGGAAATCAAGGGGTTATGACGTCATTGGCAGGCGACACAATGACACTATGGACACGCTCCGTGTCTTTTAAAATATATTATTTCCAAAAGAAGTACTCATTTGGAAGGTATTCTAAAGTGTACTTTTCCATACAACGACTTCTGTCAATCTCCAAAAACATATTAAAACAAAAACACATTAAAAGCACCAGTTCCAACAGTTAATCTTCCAGGTTGAATTACAATTTTAGCCTGTAACTCAGACCAAGCTATCATATGACTTCAGAAGACTTGGAATATAGTACACGAGTTGCGTGGATGTTAAGATTTAGGGTGTTTCCTTGGCCATTTAGCAACTTATTAACTGCTGTCTTGTGGAAAAATGGATTTGGAACAAGTAAGTAATCACAGAACATTTGTTTCTGGGTAAAATTACGATGTTTCTCACAGCAGATGAACAAAGAAACGTGGACCCAGACCAATCTCCGGCTGCTCTGTAGCTCTCCGGCCGAAAACAGAACGTCCACGCTGACCCTGCCTTTGGGTTCGGCTTCTGTGAGAAGTTCTCCCTCCAGCACCACCAGTGGAGACACTGATTCAGCCGTCGTCTTTCCCTGCAACGAGTGTGGAAAGTAAGCCACGTCCTGAGTCAAACACAGAAACATCTTCATACAGTTATGAATCACAGTGGTTGCGGTCTGATTCACGATTGCCTCGTTTCATAGGGTGTTTTTAAAGGTGAAAAGTCGAAATGCCCACATGAAGACACACCGGCAGCAGGAGGACATACAGTTGTGGCAGTTCCCCAGGGTTCCTGAGCAGGATCGCGTGATGGTGACACCTGAATGTCCTGTTACACCACTAAAACCACCCATAAGCCTTCATTCTTTAACATGTGACAGAACTGCGGAGGTGAAAACATCCATAAATTACATGTGCAATAAGTCAGTGCAAGAAATTAATTGTCGTCTGAAGACTCTTCCTGTCCTACAGAGTCCACTAGACTATATTCCAAGTTAGAAGATGAATAAGTAAATTCTTTGTAGACTATAATTGTCTCCTTCATGTAAATAGCACAGATTTATGTATATTAAAACTAAGGCTAAGGCACAATTTGTGTAAAAAGTATGTAATGTTCTTTGTTTTATCTGTATCTGATATCCTGTTGTGTATTATCTGGTTTTGTATCATATTTCTTTTGTAATAAACCCCTTGGTTTGTCAGTGATTATCAAACACTCAAACTCACAACAGATTAAATTCACAATGCAGTCGACTTTACAAAACCGCTTTTCATAAGCGGTGTGACTCTACCCAGCTAACAACATGTTCTGAATGTTATGAAACTTTACTTCTGAATGTTCATTAAACGTTCAAATGTGTTTTCATGGTTATGAGAACGTTAAAGGGACAGTTCACCCAAAAATGAAACCGTTGTCATCATTTACTCACCCTCATCTTGTTCCACACTTGTATGAATTACTTTTTTTTCTGTTGAAGACAAAAGAAGATACTTTGAAGAATGTTGGTAACCAAACAGTTGCTGGTAGCCATTAAATTCCATAGTATTTTCCATACTATGGAAGTCAATGGCTACCAGCAAACATGATGGGAATGTTACTTTTGAATGTTCTAAAACAAGTTGTAACATAAATAAAACGTCCAACGAAAACGAAATAATAACATGAGGATAGAGGTGGAAAAACAAATACATCCTGCCCCATTTTCAGCGAGGGCAAGTGTTTGGAAACATATTATCTTAATTATTGATCTTTTGTTATTATGGGAAGTGTAAAATATTTTTGATTTATTAGGAAGTTAATAGTTTATAGGAAACACTGATTTCTTGAGTCAGGACTACTCATACTATAGACGGGTGTGTTTTTGTATAAAAAAATACTGGTGCGTTTGATGTCCAGTGCACACCAAAATTTTGATGAAAAATGGCGAATCGATTTTTAATAAAATCATGACCCCAAGAATCGATATGAATCGAAATGTGAGGTTTCCACCCCTACTACACAGTTGAGTGCATAAGTGCTTAGTGTACACAAGTGCGTCATTTGGGATGCAACTATTGTTAAAGACCAGATAACTTTGAACAAACATTCTAATAATATGAAAACTTTGAGAGAACCTTGCCAGAATGGTAGCCAAAGTTCTGAGAACATTCCCTGTTAACTGAGAAACCGCTGTGCTGCAGCATCCGGACGATCTGTCAATAACCATTCCGAAATATGCAAAGATTCCGAAAAGCAAAGCTGCAGCCAATCATCAAAGAGAGATTGATGACATTTGACCAATTACAGCACAGAGAACACTGCAAGCAAATTTGTATGTTTCCACTCCCATTACTGAGCAGTATGAGTTTGGCTTGTTTGGTTAAAGGGTTAGTTCACCCAAAAATTAAAATTCTGTCATTAATTACTCACCCTCATGTCGTTCCAAACCCATAAGACCTTCGTTCATCTTCGGAACACAAATTAAGATATTTTTGATTAAATCTGACACAAGGCATACACGTGGCGCTACTGCTTATGTTAACACGCGCATGCGTTGTTTACATGAAGCGGTTTAATGTGCACACTCAGTACGCATGCTGCGTGTTGTAAAAGCAGTATGCTGTTTCTGACCATATGCGAGAATTTTGTGACTGTAAACTGAAAATATGAGCTTAACACAAGATCTAGTTGTTTAACCTGCACAAAAACGTTGTGCTTGTCAGAAGTGGGATTCGAACCCACGCCTCCAGAGGAGAGCAGAAATGCTGTTGTTTACTGGTAAACAATGTTTTAATGTTACTCACAAATCAGAAAAACTATGGCTTCGGCACAACCTCCAAACTTCTCCTGGGTAGATCCTGGTAAGGTTGCAGGCCTGGCAATGCCCCGAATGACGGCCCACTATCAGTACCTGCTGAACAACGGCATCAAGCATCTGGTGACCCTGAGCGAACGCAAACCTCCTTACCATGACACCTGTCCAGACCTGACCCTTCATGCATGTTCATCAGATAATAAATGCACAATTTTGATTATGTAAAACCAATATTACAGCAGCATTTTTAAGATGTTTTCGTTGGATTGTTTGAATACTCAAAAGAGAATACAGCAAAATATAATAATTCACTTGTGTGATCACAAAAATAGTGAGTATCTTCTTCAACCGACTGAACCTCGAACCGAAAGCAAAAAGTGAATGCCAGAGTACCTGTGATAAAACACAAACCAACAGTTTGCATCACATTTTTTGTACACTGACTTCACACGTTGGTAACAAAGCAAATCTCTAAACCAGTTAGTAGGCTATAAATAGCCATGGCAAGTTATAGTTCACATCGTTATCATTTGTAACCTTATTTTAAAACCACTGACTTTAACAACAACAGCAAATAAGCTACTTACCTGATCATAAGACATAATTTTGTAGAGTTTTGATGTTGTTAGTGTGATATTCACTGACAAAACGATCATTTTCAGCCTGTACTTTTATGCTTCAACCGCTAGAGGGCCAAAAGTTACATACTGGAGCTCTTGAAGCATGTGTATGCTGAAGTGTTTGTCTTCAACAGGCTGTTGCGGTGCACTGTTTGCATGGTTTTGGGCGGACAGGGACGATGCTCGCCTGTTACCTGGTGAAGAGCAGGAAAATCACCGGAATCGATGCCATTAATGAGATAAGAAGCATTCGCCGAGGGTCCATTGAAACCAGAGAGCAGGAACAAATGGTGGTGCAGTTTTATCAACAAAATAAGGTGTAAAATAAGAAACATTTATGATGCAGATGTTTATGAATGTTATACAAAGCAATAAAGAATTATTTATTTCCAATGTATGTTTTTATTTTTGAAGTCTTAAAGGATGTATAAGTTGCTATCACCTAAATATCTGGTAAAGTATACAACATCCCTCTTTCCAATATGAATAAATTCCTAGAGTATACTTTTTTTAGTGACACTATGTGAAAAATACTGGTGAATTCAGATAAAGCTGGTCATCTGTAGTCACAGAAATGAAAAAGTGGCTCAGTTACCTTATGTGTACACAATTTTACAGCTTGCATGCAGCGGTCTAGAAACAAATCATGAAACATAAAACCTTGTTTATCCTTTAAGACACTATTGTCCGAATGACTGACAGTCTCTGAGGCTTGCCTTTTCATCAGGACACTTTGACTTTACTTGAAGTGACCATTGCCAAAGAAAACAGCTGCTGGCGCTCCTTAAAGGTCAGATTCTCTGGGGCTCGTCGTGTTTTGAAGCTTTTGTGATCTACCTCACTGTAAGAATATATATACAAAACAATCACCTGATTAGAATTAAATACTACAGGTTTCTCTAAACATCCAATATGTGAAACAGAAAAAGTTCTCACAAAGGCTATGTTAGAGGAATAGTCATTTTAAAATTATGGTCATTTAAATTATGATGAATGTTTGTGAATTCCGTTCTCCAGATCAAAATTCCAACACCATCATATATTATTTTTTATAACTTGTGGGTAACAAGTAAACGCAACAAAACACCAACATACATTAAGACAACAGTGAGCAATAATAAATATAAGACAGAATTTAACTAGGTTCTATAATAATATAATAATAATATTGCAGCAGCCCTGCAGCGTCGAACAAAGGAGGCAGAGGGTTTTTGACGGGTGCCTTCGATTTTTTATATATATAAACATAAATTATCAAAATATTACAATATAGAATCCATTACAGCATTTATTGCCCATTATTATTGGCTAATCCATTAACCATTTTTGTGCTTCATAATTGCTTATGTAGTTAAAATGAGCTGAAAATCCATTAAAATACCATTTAAAATAAACTTAGTACATAGCTGAAGTAAAAATGTGACCACAAACCCCACTCTTCCCTATTCTGGAGAGTTAAAAAAACAGAATTATGCATTCATAGTTGAGACTTACCCAGAACGGAACTTCTCAGATGACGTTTTGTCGTATCCTGTAGATTCACATTTGACTCCGTCTGCAGTTCCCATAAATCAACGTTAGACAAATTTTACAAGTCTGAGATAATCTTAATCAGCGATTGATTATGAAATATCATCCAGTACCTTTCAAACTGGCTTCTTTAGTAAAGGGGCTTTCCTTTTGCTGGTCAGCGGGCGTTTCAGTGTTTTCACAGTTCCGCTAGAATGACAAAATGATTTATAAATGCTCATGCATACAAGTGATCATTGTGATGTTTCAGTGCACACTTAACAACTCACCACTACATCACTTCCTGTCTGAAACCACTTCCGTCCTGCCCCCGAATCGCTCTCATAATCATCATCCTCTTCACCATTCTGCTGGAACTCCTCCAGTCTCTTCTGGAACTGCAGCTCTAGAGAGAGTCTGCGCAGACGTTCACTCTCCTCTATGCTGCGCTGCACTTTAGCCTGCAGCTGTTGTACTTCCTGTTGCAGCAGGTCTGCAGTCTGTTGCTTATCCTGAGCATCCCGCTTCTACGAATCTCCAACAGAGAGCTTTTTGATCTTATCGGGCCCTTTCTGCTGAGGGTTCGCACTTAGACATGAGGCTGAGCTGTTGTGCAATGTCTGCGCAGATGACTGTTTTTTTCTTGAGACCCTGCTGTGGTCTTTGAGATGGTGATGCATTGCTCTGTTTTTGATACCGATGGTGTGCTGGAGACATACTTTGGGTCTCCACAGACTGGCGGAATGTACTGAATGAAAGACTGTTGGCTTGTGGTGTATATGGGACGTCCATTCGTTTCGGCTGTGATAGAGGCACGGACTGGGTTGTTGTCGGGATCTTCCAGAGTCCGTTTCTGTGTCCCAGGCTGGATAAACTGGAATCCATTGGGCTTATGGTTGCAAAGCTGTTCCATATGCTCAGATCTGGCTGCTTCGTGAAATAACTCTGTCTGTCCACTAGAGGACCTCCTTTCTCTTCAGTCCAGAGATTGTCTTGAGAAAGTGCCTGTTTCTATGAGATGCATTAGAATTTGTAAACACACACACAGGCATACATTAAAAAGAAAATGTATAAAGCCTTTTAATATATAATTTATATATTTTTTTAATATAAAATGTGATCTTAGTCTTATCCTAGATATAGTCCATAAGCTGTTAAAAATGCATTTCATTTAGTTAATTCACTTTAAACCATTATTTTCTGTATTTTACCGTTCATTTTATTTGAATTACACTGTTTGTACATTTATATTCTAAATTTAGACATAAAAATGTGAATGATTACATTCTTGTACAAATATACCCCCTCTGATTTTTTTTTTAAACAAATCGCACCCTGATAATAATAACTATTATTATAGTTCATCTGTTGGCAAAAAAAAATTTGGATGATGTTTTTGTATATATCTCTTTACTACCATTTGCAGATTTTAAGGGCCAATAACAGTGGACGTGTTCACAAGCTTTTTTTCTGTCAAGACTTAAATGTTTGTGTCTATACAGAAGCCTTGAGAAATATTCAGTGGAGTAAAATGTGTGACAACTAACCCCGGCTTCCCCTATTTGGCAGGTGATTCTGCTTTCAAACAAACTCATGCAAAGCTTATGGAAGCACAAATATCAAACACAGCAATAAAACAGACAGAACAAAGACAGGAAATGCAGCACACAAATACCATAAAGTTGCTCTTTTGCTGATCCCTGGAGAATGGAGCAATATGTGGAGGATGTTCGGTGGTTCTTGGTGTTTTATTGCTGTGCGGTTTGGATGTTGGCAGGGTCAGATATTCTCTGTGAAAAGTCTCTGCATTTGAAAGAGTGTTTCTTTGTTTCCCCTGGGGTGACAAGTGAAATAATGAGGTCAATAGTAAAAAAACATGGGACTGTTCATAAAGGTGATTATCTTAATAAACAAAAAACATTTATCTGTACTTACAGAATCCATGAGATTTTCAATGGAGAAGGATAATGTCATCTTTTCAGGAGGAACTGAATCAACAGGCATTTCCTGGTTATCTGATGGAGATTGAATTAAAAAGAGCTTAACAAACCAAAAACAAACAAAAAATGAGGTGTAAATATAAACACTCCCATGCCAGGTTGGGACTGGAACGATAATCCAGTTTCTGCTTGAGCCATTTCTGGTTTTGTTTCGTGTTCACTCTGCTGATTGTATGCTGGTTTCTAAAGATTTCTAATGGTCTTGATGGACCAGAAACAGATGGTTCGGCACTGTCATGAAGATCAGAGACACTGGACTTCTGCTTGGATGGTCCATCATTATCA